TTACAACTCCTTCATAGTGTCATATTGCTTTTCGGAGAATTATGATGCTCCTGGATGGATCACAGCCAACCCAATTATCAACACAGCTCCATGTCCTTGGTCATGGTGGCCACAGCACTTAAAATAATAAACTTCATAATTCTCAAAATTCTGACCCTTTGCTTTTTTATTAACAGCATTTACTTGTACTTTTACTTTCAATACTTAAGTACATTTAATATCAGAAAATTACTTTTGATACTTAAGTACATTAATTATCAGATACTTTACGACTTTCACTCAAGTAGTATTCTAATAGTATTCTTTTACTTTTACTGGAGTCATTTTCCAGTAAGGTATCTTTACTTTTACTCAAGTATGGCTTTTGGGTACTTTATACACCACTGATCTTTAACTAACCCTAAATAAGTAGTTATTTTGCCTAAACCTAAACGTAAAAAGAATGCAGTTTCTAAGTGGCAAAAAGGGCCACGTTGCACAAACCCCAATACCAACATCTGGGCTTAACTCGTGCCCGATATACACACACACGCACACACACACACAAACACACACTCTCTCGGTCCCTCGACTCCAATCCCCCCTCAATCCCCAATGCAGACAGCGAGTCCGTGATTGGGTAACAAAAGCCAAATCAAAGTGCTTTGTGAAATATGGCTGGGATTCGTTATTAGGTGAAGGCTTTGTTTTCCCCGGCACGCAGGCAGACCGGGGGATTTAAGCCTCTCTTTTGCAAAGCATACAGATGAGCCAGGAGGGTTAGGGCGCTTTTCAAGTTTGTAGCACGGTCGACTCAGAGCCGGCCATGTCTGGAGAGGAATGGATAAACATTGGACAGAGTGGCTCCTAGTGGGCGGAGAAACAGTGAGATGAACAGGGAAATAAAAAAGTTTGACCACTGTCTCTGCTAAAAACTTTCAACCATCTCATGGATGTAGTTAGTCAAAGAAAAATGGAGTCTATAGGTGAGTTAGAAGGATTTCGATTTGTGGGAAATACGCTGTCATGTCTGTTGCTCTTCATTCAAACGAGCATAAAGGGAGAACAATAATAAATTCCCCCGTTGTTGTCATTATCCTCTCCCAGTTCACTGCACTTGATTGGTCAGCCGGAGATGAAAGGGAATTACTCGTGCGCGCTAATGTGGATGGAAGACGCTTTTCCTCTATTTTTATATTTTCCATCTCTGCATGTATGTGGGAGAGCGGAGAGGAACCCTTAGCTCAAGGGCATACCGTTAGGGACATGTTGAAAACACGCATTTAGACATCACACATGTACACGCATGCACTCGGGATGGCTTTCGTGGGGGCAATGCGTTGCTGCAGTCATCTTTTATTCAGGGCAGCTCTCTGTGTGTGTTTCCAGCATCGCTCTGTGTGGACGAGCTGCTCTCGAGCAACGGGGTTTAGGAGAATGTGATCATTTAGGCAAAGTGTTTTCCTTCGCTTCCCCTTTTCTCTCTCGTAAACACACACACACACACACACACACACACACACACACTGTAAACACACGTACACACATTCTGTGTAAACTGCACGTTATTGTAGCCGCTCTGCATATTCATAGAGGTGCTTTATGTGCCAGAGCCGTGGCAGCATTCCACATCTAACAGCAGGGTGACACAGTCATTTAAATACTGCTCTCCCATACCGCTCCACGCTCTGCGTTCTGCCTACATCAATTTACTATCTATAGAGATGCAATCAGCATTTAATGTCACCGAGAGGCAGAATTAAAAGAGACGGAGGAGGAAGTGCAAAGGGAGGTGTTGGAGGAGGTCTCCTGCGAAAGGCGAGCCGGCGCTATGTCACAGGTGGGACGGGGAGGGAGGAGCAGAGGGAAATGGAGGTGAGGAGGTTTTTCTGTGGAAGGAGCCACAGCCTCTGTGGTGGCCTCGATGACTCAGCGGGTGGAAGCCTGAATAATCAGAGCCGTGCTCTGGGTCTCTGCCATCATTAGATTGGTGCACATACTAAATATTCAATGAGACATTTTGGGCAGACGTGTTGGGAGAGCAGGCGAAAGGGCAACTTTGCCGGAGTATGTGCCATGTGGCGACAGAGATATCGGGGATAGAGGTGTCGGGGGCTGCTCACTCTCCCCCTCCCTGTGCTCGGCCTGAGGGGTCGCGATGTTGGCAACCCACCCCGAGCCGTCTGGAAAACATGTAGCCCGTCTCGTGTTTCGAGTTTATGATTAAATAGTTTACTTGAGCACAACATTGTTCAAAGATGTCGCCTTTTCATTTTGCTCTCAAAGCGCACCAGATTGATGCATTTCACTTTAAAATGTACAAAATGTAGGGTGAAAATTCCTGTATTTTATCGTTTAGATATATACGATAAACCATAT